AAAATAGTGTCCAAATTCAGAATTAACTTGATCACCTCTAAATATCGTAGCACACCCCCGGGGTTATCATTTCTACCGTACTATCATTCTTACTTGCATTCCTGGCACTTACTCTCTTGCTCTCCAAATCAACTTCAACTTACCACCATACTTGGCCATTTCCATACCCCAGTGTACAGCTCCTATAAAAGATAAGACGCACGCGCCATATCCAACCTGAACGGGCTCGATGACGGCCAGCATCTCTGGTGATGAAGCGTAATGTGCTGATGCTGCACTAGTCGCGATGTAAGGAAGAGTGCCTGTATCGAATGGGAAACAAAAGTAATATCTTTTTCGCACACACTTGAACTATCGGTGTGCAGAGTAAAAAATACGATTTTTTAGGCCGAGAAAATTCAGTAGACTAACCGGCAAAGCCGAATATTGCAGCAGGGCGTGGAATTTCCTTGAACGTTCTTGCAAAGGTTTTCTAAGTAGAGCCACGGAACGGTTGATTAGAAGAATTCGGAAGTTTTAGCAGATTTCGTAGAAAAATACAACGTACAGCATCGCTGACAATTCCATCTTTGCGCCGAGGCAGCTCTTCTGTCTCTTGTCTTTGTGAAGACAATGACGTTTTCTGCGTTTCAAATTGCCGTCAATGAAACTAAATAGATGATAACTTTTTTTATACGATCAGTGTAAATTTACCAGTCCATTGAATTGTATGCCAGTTGAAGGTCGTAAATATAGTTGGTGATCCAGTAAGATCTTCGGTTTCAAGAACGTCCATTGTCTGTTGACATCTGTAAATCAGCGTTAAATTTGCAGCCTTGAGTTGAAAATTTAAAGCATCTCGCATTACAACTTACTTCGAGTCACGTGGACTCGCAGTCCCTGCGAATTGCGAGTTGATCGTCAAGTTCTGAGAATAGTAAATCAGACAACACGAAAGAATAGAGTCAACTAAAGCATACCTGATGAAGACTCTTAATAATCATGTTAGAGATGAATGTTTAATGACCAAAAAATGGTTCTGGGCACCAGACGTGCTTCGTTAATATGGCTGATCTGCACCCGGATGATTTGGGATTAGACATCTTTTTAGTGTAGTCAAATAAGACCAAAATCCAACAGGGGGCGAATACAGACGACGTAATTGATGGCTTCAGAACAAAGCGAACTAGATCGCACAAGCAGCCTTATCGGAAGGTATCTGTTGACTGGTTGGGTAACTATAATAAAGTTTAAATATTTATGTTCAGAAAAACAAATGTGGTTTCGCTATCATTCTCACCATGAGATATATACGACGGTAGATATTGTCCGATGAGGTCTGCCCAAACAAAGGCTGTAATGTAAGCATACATAACCATCCTGCCTATCCTTTCTGCGAGCTTACTAAAATTCTCAAAATAGGTTCCTCTCCTACGCTCCAAAGACAACTCGACATGGCTCTGCGCTCGCTGCGATAACAACGATTCAAAGCCAAGGTCGACGACAGAGTTACCTTATCAGGCTTATGAAAGCTTTGCTCCACCTGTAGAATCTATCGGTATGGAGCAGGAGACATCTGAAGAAGTTGAAGAGCGACAGCTGCGACGTAAGCAATCCCAGCTTGCAGCACAGTTAATTGGAGAACGAATGTTACAAGGATGGACTTTGCTTGATGAGATATGTCCTAATGAAACATGCTATGGGGCAAGTGTCGATGATCGTCTTGGGTCTTGGGCTTGCTGATTTCCAATCCGTTGACAATAATTTTTACGCGTTGTTGATATAGGTTCCGC